GATGTCAGGAAAAAGGGACCGCTGCTCACAAACAGGACCAGAAACTCCGCCCCAGTGCTAGTAGTTTTTAGTGCTTACTGCACCACAAACATTGTGCTAATAATAAACTAAGCACACATAATGATCAGTTAGTGACATAAGTTGGGCTCTGTGAATTAGAAGGTGTGCTGGGGATTCTACACACACATACTCACCTTTGCTCCTTGTGGCTTGTGAGCAAGGTGCTTCTTGCCTTATTTTGGAGGTAAGGAAATTGAGACCTGCAGAGGTTTGATGTAAACAGCCTGAAAAGACCCAGAGCTGAGATTTGGTCTTAGATCCGTTTATGACACTGAAAGCGTTGTGTTCTCCCCACTCACATAGTTTCATGCAAAAGCCAATGTGGTACTTCCTGGTGCCCACTGCCCCTCTGGATGGGCTGAAGGGCAGGGGTAGTGGGCAGAGAGCAGTGTCCATGGAAGCCAGATTGTCCTTTTGAAAGGAGGCTCTGGAGGTGGAGGAAGGGCTATGGTCTCCAGGCTACTGTTAAATTGTAACTCTGTTACATGAAAGCTTTTCTCTCTTGTAATCAGTATTCTCTTGGCTCAAGTAAATCTCTCCAGGGAGGGGCCACATCTCTTTTAGGTTGTTATCTCCCTCCCTAGGTCTACAGATTTTTTTTTTAATAAAACATAGGTCCATTTCAAGGAAATATAGCACACATTTCTGAAAATTCCTCTTCAGCTTCCAGGATGGTATCTCTCAGAATCCACCAGGAGGGAATCTTCAAACATGCAGGGGCCTGCCCAGACCAGCCTTCACTCATTCCCTACTAATTCTGACTCTTCCGGTTTGCAACTAACACAATCTGATGTGTATGTGTGTATATAGAAACACACACACACATCTATGCATAAAATTATTCTGGTTCTGAGGTGCAGACCCAGGAATGTTCCTCCCAGTGATGTAGTAGGAAGTTTATGGCATCACGATTTTGGATTCTCTGTAAACTTGTTTAAGCTGAATCTGAACCAGCCTTTGGAGTTAACTTGTTTCTGTGAAACAGATGATACAGAACAAGTTTAAGTGACCTCAGGAGAAAATATACAGATCTAGGTTATTGGATATCCTGTAAGATAACTGGCCTAGTATATTCAAATAGTTAATATTGGGAAAAGTAGGAAGGATAGATCAGGGAGGAAAGACTATTCTTGTCTAGAAACCAACCAAGTACAATGCATGAGTCATGGTTTAAAAAAAAATGACTATAAAAAATGGATGAGATATGGAAATGGATTAGGAGTATAGATTAGGCATTGGCTCTAAGGGTATTATTGTCACTTTTCCCAGTTATATTAATTTTTTTGTGTTTATAGAGGAAAATGTCCTTATTTTTAGAATATGCTAAAGTATTTAGGGATGAGTATTCAACATTTGCTACTCATTTTTAAGTGGTTCAGAAAAAAATGTGTATGCTGTAGATCAGTGGAACAGATATAGGACAGTGTTAGCAAATGCTGAATCTGAGTGTTGGTACATGGATGCTCAATGTTTATTCTTTTTTTTTTTTTTTAAAGAAGAGAGAATCGAGAGAGAATTTTTTAATATTTATTTTTCAGTTTTTGGTGGACACAACATCTTTATTTTATTTTTTTAATGTGGTGCTGAAGATCGAACCCAGCGCCCCGCGCATGCCAGGCAAGCACGTTACCACTTGAGCCACATCCCCAGCCCCTCAATGCTTATTCTTGTCAACTTATATCTGTGTTTGAAATTTTTATAGTAAAGTTAAGAAACAGAACCCAGGCTAGCAAGCAAGGTAGTGCTTTTCAAAACACTTAGCCATACTCTCTACTGTTCCTGTCATGCTGGAAAGTGGGGGCTATTTGCAGCTCTGACTGATGTTCTTCCAGTCTTTCTCCACCTTCTAGGTGGAGGTGCACTTTGCTCCTAGGTTTCTATTCCCGTAACCTAGTCAGTGGGCACCGCCTGGTTCTGGCTACACGTGTACTTTCCCTTCCAACTGACAACAGAAAGGTGCCAGAGATGGAACCCAGTGATCCAAGCTACAAATGCCAGCTCAGAGCTACTCACCACCTTCCCCCTTCTTGTAATTAGGGCAATGTGAAGGATGTATGCAGTATAGTACCAACGACCACAGATGAGCTTTTATAAACTCCTCTTTTCTCTCTCTTCTGTCAATGATATTGTAGATTTCTGCATGATTCTGGTTTTCTGTTTTGTTTGTTTGTTTTTGTTGTTGTGTGTGTATGTAAGTTATTTGCTAAGAGGGTTTATGTTGTGGACCTTTGTGACAATTGTAGCATTATTTTCTGAAAGTCAGAGGGCTGTCCAAATTACCCATAGTCATCAGGGATGTGGTAGTAAAGTCAGGTAGCTTAGAGGAAAAAGGCATTTAGTGACCCACGGAGAGAAGACTTTTACATGAAATGGCATTGGGGCCTGGTTTTATGAGTGTGCTTCATGGAGTTCTGAGGAGGACTGTGTCCAGTATCCCTGCTGCTAACAAGGATCTATAACAAAGATCTGTTTCCCCTTTGATAGAAATGTTGTGTCAGCAGGTGCCTGCCTTTCTGTGCATATGGCCTAACTGGGACACTTCATATGACTCAGACCATTCCAGAAACCCCCTGCTGCCTTCCAGATTTCCCCTTGTCCTAACACCCTAAAGTAGACTTCATTTGAATCCCCAGGAAGATACAGTTTTAGTCAGTTAGCCTTGCATATTGTGGCTGTCCTCTGATAGGAGCAGTTAGTAAACATTGGGGAGAGACCAAAGCATCTTATCTCCAGTTCAAAACGGAGAAGAATAGAGGCCACATCCCAGCCATTCTAGTGCAAATACAAGAACTGGTGATTGTTTTAGCACAAATAGAGAGGGAACTATATTTTCTGAGATTATATTTTCTGTGATGTGGGCCTTTAAATTGTCTTACCTCCAATTTGACATGGACCACTTTGCTAAGCCCAAACACCCCATCTTCCTTGCTTATGAAGTTTCACAGCATTTCTCTTAGGAAAATGCAACCTACTTGCATTCCTGACCCCAAGCTGAGCTTGCTGACCAGGACAGCGGACACTGTCATAGCCATTAAGATACAAGTCACCTGGGAGATTGTAGAAGAGTCCTGCAGTTTAGCACAGGGATTAATATGTATATTCACATTGAAAAATTGCCATTAACTAGAGGGACAGGGATGGAGAGGGGCTGATTACATAGCAAATTGGTTTTCTACTGAAGGAAGGGAATTGATACTTACAGAACTCTTATTCTGCTGGGCACTGTGCTGAATGCTTTAAGATGTGCTTGTTTCTTCCTTACACCCATCTTGTGTGCTAGATACCTTTACTGTCTCCAGTGTGTAAGTAAACCCAGGTGGTGGTGGAAGCGGCTTTGGAACCCAGACCTGAGGGACACTAAAACTCCCTCAGTGGAACACACCACCTCTCCCTTATCCAGTGCTTAGCACAGCCCCATTGCACACACACACACACCCTGACAATTAGGTCCATATGTTCCCTGTATTACACTAACTATGTCCTCAAAATAGCATCTTGTGTAACAACAGTGATGTGAGGAGTTTTTAAAGACATCATGATTCATGAGAAGAGTAAAGTCGCCACTCACTAGGACCTCAACCAGCAGGCAGAGCTGATGCTTGGTGTAAAAACAGGCATGTTAAGCTTTGGCACTGGGCTTCCTTATTTCCCTACCCCCTTCCCTCTTAGTTAGCTCTCTGCCTCAACAGAGCTCAGTATGCCGAGGAGTTCTTTGTAGTTCTCATGGAGTTGACATAATAAGATTGAACACTCAGAGAAGGGCCATATGCCCAGATGTCAGATATGCGCATCTTGATTCTGCCTGACCTTGGAGAAGGGGCAGAAAACAGAGCTGCAGATGAGCACTGCCAGCCCCTGATTCAGGGTTCAGGCTCTGAAAGAGGGTTGAGCCACTGGGGCAAAGTCCTCTGGTAATGAAGTCATTTGTCCTCAGGAACAGAATGAGCCCTCTGTGAAATTAGAAACAATGGACATGTTGAGTTCCAGACCTGGGGTGAACTGAAGCTAAGGCAGAGGCACATGTGATGAATTGGGACAATTCAAGAGATGCATTCTTCATAGACAAGTTTCTGTTGTCAACAAGTCCACTCAGTTGTAATCATAGTTAATGGTCATTAATGTCTCTGTTTTGAATATTTTTTCCTAGTAAGTCATGAACTCTTCTATGAGGTTTTCCCCCTTCTTGAGTTTTAATTAATATAAATTATTTTGTCTAAAATAATATGAGAAATAGATGAAAGATAAGTTTGGGTAGCAATATTTCATTTATTCTTTTTCATGGGTTTTTCCTTTTACATTCTCATTTACCTAGGAAGCAAATAATTTTATTTCTCTGCTAGTAATTTCATTTCCAGACAATAAAAGTTGGAAATTGTTTCTCTGCTGCCAAGCAAAAGTTTTTGGTGCAAGTTTTCTAGAATTTAGCGTATCTAATACCAGAACAGTAGCCAGAGTCCAGCACACTTTAGAAAACATAGCCAATCTACTGACATAGTTCACTGTCTTGATCTGGATTCCTGCACTGCCTTTTCCCTCCCACCTTCCCTAATAAAAGATAAGAGATCAGGAGCCAGCTGCTCCCAAGAGTTCAGCACCTGAGCTGTGTCCCCTGTATGACTGGGTGCCCCGTGGGTGGGTGCTAGGGCCACTCTCTCCTGCTATGCTGCCCCAGTTTTGAGCCTGTGGTCTCAGAGAAGTGGAAACAAACCCCATATATGCTAAGACCGGTTCTGCATGCTGCCTGGGGACCAGAGGGTGCTAGACACATTTCTGTCGCTGACCTGACCCAGCGGGAAGAGCGGGTGGAGCAGGGACGCGGGGCCGAGGCGGGAAGGCGGCCGGCGTCCAGCGAGGGGGCGGGTGCAGCCCGCGAGTGTGGGGGCGGCGCGGGGCGGGGCCTGGCGAGCCGCTCACGCCCTCCGCTCTTTCCTCTGCTCTAGGTGAGGCCGCCGCGGGGCTGCTGCTGCCCAGCGCAGTACTCGGTGTCGCTCAGCACGAATGCCGTGCGCCCGGGACCGCGCTGCTGCCGCCGGCCGCGGGAGTGAATGACCACTGCTGCGACTTCCTTCCCAGCCTTCCTGAGCAGCCTCCCGCCTAGCCGGCTAGCTGTTTTGGTTGACCCCGTGGATTCCTGCCTCTTTCTCCGCCGTGAACATCAATATGTGTCATGTCATTGTCACCTGCCGCTCGATGCTCTGGACCCTCCTGAGTATTGTGGTGGCCTTTGCGGAGCTCATTGCCTTCATGAGCGCGGACTGGCTGATTGGGAAAGCTAAGAGCCGCGGCAATGCCGAGCCGGCCGGCGCGGGCGGGAGTCCCTCCGAGCCCTACCACCCAACTTTGGGCATCTATGCCCGCTGCATCCGCAACCCCGGCGTGCAGCACTTCCCGCGGGACACGCTGTGCGGGCCCTACGCTGAGAGCTTCGGCGAGATCGCCAGTGGCTTCTGGCAGGCCACTGCTATTTTCCTGGCCGTGGGGATCTTCATTCTCTGCATGGTGGCCTTGGTGTCAGTCTTCACCATGTGTGTGCAAAGCATCATGAAGAAAAGCATTTTCAACGTCTGCGGGCTCTTGCAAGGAATCGCAGGTAAGTGAGCAGGACAGAAGGAAACAGCTTTCACTCCAGGGAAACAGACTTCCACTGCAGCTTGGCACTTGTTGATTCACACTGGCTTCTTGCCGCTTTTGAAAAAGACCTTCCCTTTAATGAGGTTTACCTGTGTTAACTCTTAACCCAGGAGGAAGACCCCTTCTCTTGTGTGGCCTGAACTTCCTCATGGCTTATTCCCTCTAGGTCTAAATTATTGAGTTTTGTTTGAGTAACTACTCCTTTTTGCTTTCTCCATTCAATTAAAATCATGCTTTCCTTGTCACTACATCTGCTGGAAGAATGGTGGTGAGAGTGAGTCCCACCTGCACCAAGTGTTCTGCTAAGGAAATGGGTGTGGGTGTTCAATAGGAAGTCTCCAGCCTGCTCCTACCACCCCATGGTTTCAGCTTTGGGTAGGTAAAATACAGACTGGAAAGGAATTAGTATCAGCTGCTCTGTGTTTAATGCTGTTCTGATTTAAATTCTGTCTCCTGGAGCTTGACAGAATGTTCTGTGCACTCAGATCAGAAAACTCTTCCACTTTCTGGCAGTTTCTCACTAAAGAGCTTGTTAGAAATGGGTGAAAAGAAAAGTATGAGCTCTTTATGGTGATTCCCCCAGGGAAGGCTGTGAGCTAAAGGAAAAGATCCACTGCCCCCTGCACTTTCCTAGACTTCCTCCAGATTGTTGAAAGGTGGATCCTGAACCAAGAGAGCAGCAGTCTGTCCCAAGGGACAGCTCAAAGGACTCTGTGTGGCAGAAACACACAGGAAGCTGTTGGAAGACATCCCATGGAAGTGGAAGGAATGGACTATTGCTTTAATTTTGCAGAGGTGGGGGTGTTTTAACTTTTTAACCAAGATGCAAATCTCAACTGTAAGGGGGAAGAACAGGAATCCACCTACATCGCTAAATGAAGGGCACAGGTGATTCCTCAGCAAATTTAAGAGAACATGGGCCTCTTTGGTGTAAAGATAAGTGTTGAGCCCTGTGTCCAGGGCTGCAAAGAAACAGACCCCAAATGAATTAACTCTACTCTGCCTCAAATGCTTGAGCTCAGCAGGGCTTGCTTCCAAATAAACAGATCAAATGACAGGGTGTTTTTCCCCCCAAATAGCTGATAAGATAAAGTTTCTGTTTCTCAAATCTTAGGGGGCCCATGTATGGTGTGCATTTACAGGAAAGAGCAGGCACAAAGGGCCAAGAGAGATGGAGATCCTGGTCTACATTTTGATTTGCTTTCACAGGGGTGAGTGGAGTACTCCATTTAGAGACCAGGGCCTTTAAACTTTGTCACAAAGCAAAATCTTAGGACCCCCATTTCTTTATCTGCTAGGATCAGCCATATCATGAATGATCAAAGCAATCCTAAGCACTCACAGAATCCAGGAGGCCAGAATTCCATTTTTCAGCTTTGCCACTAACTAGCAGTTCTGTAGATGAGTGTACCAACTCCTTGAACATCAGCATTGCTATTCTGAAAATATAACCTTACCCTTAAATGTGTATTTTTTTTAATCTTGGATTTCTGATTCTGTAAAATTGTTTGTCCTCTTTTGATTTACTTCTGAAAATCTGAAGTATATCCCCTTGGGTTTGGCATTTCACCTTCCAGAAATGTTAAATACAAAAGGTTTTTGAGTACAGAATTCACCCACACACACACTTTTTTGTTGTTGTTGTTTTTTTGGTCAGAGGTCCCATCAGACACAAAGTACCTCAGGTGTTTACCTTAAAACTTTTGTAAAGTATTATCAAAGGCTTTTGAAAAGTCAAAATAAACATGTAGATAAAGTGAAGCCAGCACACATAATTTATAAATCTTGTTGAAGATCCTTGGTTGACCAGAGAGGAGGATTTGTTTAACTTTCCCTCACTATGTTGAGTTTGCCCATCCTCCATGATTTCATGCCTTGGTTGTGGGTTTATCAGTATGATGGTATGCAGGTTAGACTCCTGGCTTGCTTCTCAAGGAATACTTCTCATCACTACTGATCTGCCTTCTAGCAAACCATTGGCCTTTTACATCATGAGGTGGGACATCTTGGGCCCCAACACCAAACCTGTCTTTTGAAGTCATTGAGCAGCAGCATAAACACCCTTTAATTTTGTAGTCTACTAATATGCAGTTTTGAATAATGGATTAGTCCAGTGAATTCCACCTCTGCAAGTATGGATTAGTCTTAACACATCTTTTTGTGTTCTTGTTTGTAGCTTCACATAAATAGTGTGTCATTTTTGTGAAGTACATATTTCTTAGGTATTATTTGTATACTCCAGTGAGGTTTTCTAGCTTTTCTCTAGGCATAAGGCCTTTGGGGAGAGGAATTGAGAAGGAGGTAAGAGTACACCCAAGGGGCCAGTCTGCAGGTCATTTGTCTCTTTCAAAGTCTGAGTTTTCTAAAGACATTTTAACTTTCTCTCCACACTACTTAGCATCTGAAAAATTCTGAAATTACTCACAATTTTAAATTGGCAGGAGGCAGAGATTCCTGTCTAGTCACTCTACTCTCCAGGGGCCCCTGAGCACTGAAACCCAGGAAAGAAGTGGTTTCTTTTCCCTTTGCAGCCTAACACCACACCTCAGCAAGGAAATAATAAGAAAGATGGACTAAACCATGTTTCATGTGTTCAGGGGCACTTTCTGCAAAGGGACTCCGTGGGCTTTCTCCCTGACACAGGTCCTCATCAGGCCGTTCAAGCCAATGCAGGCAGCAGCCCTTGTCCTGAATTGGATGGCCAAGAAAGTTGCCATACCAGTGTCCAGAGCAGCTGACTGCTTCCTCTTCTGCCAGCAGACTGTCCTAGCACCTGGTCAGCACAGCCTCAGCCAAGGACTTGCAGCTGTGAGCACCAGTCTTTCCTCTCCATGCCTCCCCGCCCTGCCCCCCCCCAATCCTGAATCTATTCAGCATTGAGACAAATGGTGAGAAAGGAGGCCGTTGCCAGAGCAACACAAGGGTTCTTTAGAAGTACACTGTGGCTGGGTTTTGTCTTACAACTTGCATTTTGGCAAAAATGACATTTTTATAAAATGTGACTAGATGGAAATTTATTTAGACAGCATTTTCCTTTGCCACACCTAATTTTAAGGAATAAGTAGACCATAGGGTTATATAGCCCTGTCAATAAAAAATATAAATCATTAAAGTCTTGATATTAGAAGTTAAGTGTGAAAGAATCAGCTAGCAGTGGAAATTCCTACCTGAAATTACTTCAAAAAGAAAAAAAACAAAAACAAAAAACAACAATTGACTGTTAACAGGTAGAAGGATTTGCCTTTGAGGCCTTGCCTAACAGGGGCACCAGCTGACACATCCTCATGGTGAACCCATGATGTCCCGCATTCACTCTGGGCAGTAGTTAAGAGTTCACACCTCGCCTTAAAGTGGCTGTGAAACAATTTGCCTCACTTGTTTAAGCCTGTTTTTTCATTTATACTTACCTCAAGGCTGCTTTGAGTATTAGATAACACAAGGAAGACTCCAGCACAGCGCTTGCCTGTGGTGAATGATGGCACCAGATGACAATACTTATTAAAACATTTCTGCTTTCTTGACAAATTTCAAAGTATATTTTTTGTGTTTTCCAGAATTGCTGCATTCTGAGGAATAGGGACATCTTTTATAATTGTAGACTTGATTTTGTTCTGTTCACATGGTAAATTCATTATATAGCACTCTGCCTATGACAGGGCTGCGAGGTGAAGAGCAGTCCCTGGGCTCTGTGTGATCAGGTGTGTCTTCAGATATCTCTCTCTCTCTCTCTCTCTCTCTCTCTCTCTCTCTCTCTCTCTCTCTCTCTCTCTTTCTCTTTCTTTAAGAGCAGAAGGTAGTAATAGAATCAATAAGAAAACAAACCTCTTCCTCCCACTCCGTTTCCTCCTGTCACACACTTCTCTATTCCTTTTCTTTCTGGAGGCAGCTTCCACAGTTGAGTCTTGATTGCAGGTGGCTTCTCAGACTTCCCTGGCAGAATAAATCACAGACTGATTGGTCTTCACTAGGTGAGGCTTGGCCAGGACTTGGCAGAGCTAGAAACACACGTGGGTTCACAGCCCTCTGGGATTCATTACAAAAGCTGGGTAATCGGCCAGCGGGTTGTTTTTTTGCCAGCTGTCTTCCTTAGGTTGTGACCTGGATGTAATCCATAGTGAAACTGTAGAATGCAAAGATCCAGGTTTTCCATGACAGCATAGTGCAGTTTGTTTTTGGAAGTGCATGCAGGGCTCTCTTAGAAGTCCATGGAATCCCCAGTGACTCAGGTTTGGGACAGAAGCCATTAAAATGAGCTCAGGATTTGGCTCAATTGTGCTGGCTGGGCCTATCCCACTGGGGTTGCCATGGGGGTTGGACTAGCGCTTGAGCTGCAGGGCCTGGCTGACTGCTGTCTTCGGTCTTCCCTCCCATGTTTGCTTCTTTTGTCCTGTTGATGCTCACAAAGTACATTCCCTCTTGCCATCTTCTGTCCATGTGGGTCTCAGTCCAGCAGGATTGCCTCAGCAAGTTGCCTCACCAGTCTGATCAGCTAGATTGGGCTAGACCTGGCCTCTGTAGGGCAGGGGTGAAGGGGTGTGGTCAGGGGAATTGCTCTTTGGTGGGGGCAAGGAGGGAGGTTCAGCTTTCTTGAAAGTGAGCAAAATAATTGAGTGTGAAGAAGGACAATATGAAAAAAGAAAATAAGACTCTGAGAAGATGAGCAAATGGTTTTGCCATTGCTGCGTGCAGAATTACTTTTGTCCAGAATCTGAGTGGGTATGGAAGTATAAGTGGGTATGCAAAATATATCACAACCATCTAGGACTGGTATTTCTTTTTCACAAGGTAGAAAAAATAACCTTAAGTATCAAGGTGATAACCACAATCCAACCTAGTCCCATCCTTTCATTTGGACTGGTCCCCTCCCTGTGCATTCACTCCCAGGCAAAAAAAGACTAGACCAATCATTAAAGATGTGAGAAAGGAGACCAGAAACTCAGGAAGCACAGGAAAGTCCTA